TGATAGGCAAATGTCAGATCCAGGATATCTGTGTTTCCTTTACCACCATAGCATATCAAGATAGGAAGTCCCCTTATTCAAGGTAGTGTCTGAGTTAAAGGCACCTTAGTGGTCATAAACAGAAGAATGCTCTTGATCAACTTTAGCTGTTGACACAGGAAGGGGCATTCTCAGTTCACTCAGGAAGAAAAGATTAATTCAGGTTTTTGGCCCTTATTGGGGTTCAATTGATATTAAATGCTTATCATTGGGGAATGGAAAGGATAGGACATCTCTGGCTTGGAAAGAAAATTGGACAAGGAGGTAGCAGAAGCTTGAGAAGTTGAGGCCAAGTTGAGCTTGGTGATTTTAAAGAGAAGAAGCAATGAAGTCTCAGAATTAGAAGAACCTTAGGACTTAACTGGTCTAATCTCTTGTTCAATCTCCTCTGTTACATTTCTGATCAACTGTCTTCCAGGCCCTGCTTGAATACTCACAGTGAAACTCACTATATCTTGAGGCTGTACATTCCCTAGGTGGCCCGATGACTTGCTATTATGAATATTGAATAATATCATTTAGGTAAAGCACTTTGCAAACCTCAGAGCATTATATAATTATCAGATATTATTACTTTGATTGCAACAGTAGTCTTTCCATAGAGTAGACATGCAATTTACAGCAGCAAATGACTATAGTAACCTTGTGTTTGACAAGTGTAAAGCCTTAAGTTTTTGGGATAAGAATTCATTATTATTTGGTAAAAATTGTTTGGAAAGGTGGAAAGCAGTCTGACAGAAGTTGGGCATAGACCAATATCTTATACTATTCACCAAGATAAGATCAAAATGGATTCATGGCCTAGATATAAAGAGATATTACAAGAAAATTAGAAGAACATGGAACATATTACCTCTCAGACTTATGGATAGGTGAACAGTTTATGAATAAACTAGACAGAGAATGTGAAATATAAAATTGATAATTTCGATTACATAGTCAAGGTTAATTGAAAGAGAAATTAGCATTTGTTTTTACTTAATTAAGCAACTCCTAGACATTAAGCCTTCCTAGACATAAACATCAACCATTATATATAATGGTTATTAACCATTGTATTATGATGGTTAATATTATTAACCATTATAAATAAAACAATATACAATGAAAGCAAAAGCTAAAGAAATAAGTATAGGTACAATTTAATACATTTTCCACTAAATTCTTTAGTAACATCAATTACCTACTTATCTAATCTGGGTTTTCTGTTCCAGCTTGAGTAGAAGATTTCCATAAACTCATCTTGACTCTTTTATCTTAGTATCAAATCTTTCCACAGTGTGTACATTGGTCTTTTGGGCTTTAGACAAGGCTAGCGACAAAACCACTTAGTGGTAGGTTTTCTCATTTGCCAACAGCTTCCCTGTGGCACAACCTCACAACCACAAGTGGCCTGTAAGTACTTCAATTTAGGGAGCCATTTCTGTGAGGGCTCTTTTCAATAGCTTGATTTGGAATTAATTCCTTACACAGTTTCACAGTTTTCTTCTCAAAAATTTTCTTTCTTGTAGAACCCAGAAAAGTAGAACAATAAATGCTTGTCCAAGATTAAGGAGACCTTGACTCTGTTTCCAATCCTGTCCTCTGTTTAGCTCTGTCATTTTGGGTAAATCATTGATCTTCTCTGAACCAGATTTTCCTTATTTATAAAATGGGGATAGTAAAACTTGTCCTGTCTCACTTCACAAAGCTATTGTGAGACTCAAATGAGATAGTGAAAGTGCCCTTTAAAATGTAAAAACTGCCCAAACTGTGTGCTATTATTAGATCCCTGTGCCAGCACTATGACTTCTCTGTGAAAGTTTTTTTTTCAATGATCAGAAAGTAGAACTTTTTTTCCTTTCCATTTTCTTTAAGAAGAAAGAAAGCTCTTTCCCTTTCAACTTTAGTTCTTTGCCCTTTGAAGCCAAGGCCTGTGTTCTCAAGATTTGTACTAAACCCTCCCTTGGCAATAAACAAACATACAGGATTATTGAAAATTTACTTGTGGCACAGCTAAGTTATACAAATTTTAGGGATCCAGAAAGTACCATTTAAAACCCCTATTTTTTACAAAACTTAAAAAAGTTTTAAAATGGAGTTGTAAAGTGTTTTTTTTTTTTACTGCTAGAGTTTATTAGGTAATTAATCAAGTTCAGTTGGTTTAATTAAATCAATTGGTTTCTTCTTTTTAAAAGTCTTGGAAATCTTTGGTCATAATGTTCATTCCCAGGTCAACATTCCAGGTAGCTTGGACTTACGTAGATGTCAAGGACAATTTACTAAAAGGTAACATTTAACCCTGAAATTGTTGAAACAACACTGTCACCATTGTGGAAAAGCAAGAATTCTGTGGTACGTAGCATAGTGATATTTTTGTTCAGTATGAGATATTAGAATCGTGAACTCTGAAAAGAGATCTGAATAGTCATCTAGTCCCGAGTCAAAATCCTTCCTGACAATATTTTCCACAGGAAAATAAATTGGGATGTCATCAGCTAACTTAACGAATGCCACTTTTTCTTTAAATCCTTAGTTAGAAGACACCATGTGTTCATAGATTTATTGGATTCATGTCAGGGTTTTCCTGGCCTCTTATCCTTGCTTCCTGCACCCAGAGTTCTTGATCAGATCAGTCTTGGGGCTTTGGAATCACTTTTCTCAACACCACCTGAGAGCTCTGGTGATCAGGAGAATGTTTGAGATGTCAGGGTTTGAGGGGATGAGATTTACTTTCTTGACTTGCAATATATTACATTTCACACTGAGACAGCAGAGCTTTGGGAGGAATAGGAATAGAGATTGGGACCAGACCTGTGATTTCATTGCTGTAGGGCAAACCTGAATAGAACCATACATAAGGATTTCTGTGGGCTACATTTTGACTTAGAAAACCACATATGAACATTTTTTATGTGCTATTGTATTTTCATTTATTTTGATACCTTTTTTTCAATTATATTTTAATCTGGTTTGGAACCAATTTGGGAATGTTGTGGCCTATGGGCCACTTGACTCCTCTGATATAGGGAACTCTCAGATGAGGAGTAAGTAATGTTGAAATGTGGTGCCCAGGACAGAACACAATTTTCAAAATATAGTTTGATCAATAAAAGTATGGGGAGTCTTAACTCTCTTCTACTGGATGCTAAACTTCTAACAATGCAGCTCAATATTATATTAGCTTTTTCAGTATTCATACCCCACCTCCCATTTTATTGAGTTTGTGGTCAGTTAAAATACCCTGGTCTTTTTAAATGATTTACTGTTTAATGAATTCTTTCCATTCTGTGTATATACAGTTAATTTTTGAGTAAAAAGAATAACTTTGCATTTTATCCTTGTTAAGTTTCATCTTATAGATTTGATTCATCATTCTAGTTTCAAGATTTAAAAAAAAATTAATCCTGTTATACAACAGAAAAAGCTGTCTTTCCCAGCTTTGTATTAAATGCACAATTAACAAGCAAGCCTTTATCAAGGTCAGCAAATATGCTTCTGTACCTGTTTATTATTGTAGATTCTAGAAAAGTGTTGGCCATATCCTCCATCTTGTTGGGTGGCCAGTTTAAAGTAACATCATTTCTATTTCTTTCTTCTTTTCTCCCTACCCAAATGTTTTCTACTGTGTATCTACCTTCAAGTTTATAGATTTACATGTATTCCTTTTCAGAGTATACTATTGCTCTCTCTTATGTTCTATTAGATCAGTTTCCTTTGAAAATGTGTACCTTTGTATGATTATTCTACTCTGAACATTGATATATAATCTAAACCCCTAATTCTCCCCTCCTCCAATTCCATTACCTATTATTCCCTATTATACTTGATTCCTTTCCCCTTATGATTCTCCTCTCTATATCAAACTTATTGTCCTTTGGTCTCTGGTTACTCCTCCCTATTCTCCAGGATGGTATGAAGTTCTCTTGCTCAAATTAGCAATTTTTCTGCCTAAAATGTCCTTTCTATTTCTTATGAGCTATGTTATAGGTTTGACTATGCTGTGGAAGTTCTTATCTGATAAAAATTCTGAAGAAGACTGAGCTCACATACCAGCCTTAACAAAGAAAACTTACACTCTTCATTGGAGATGGCTGGGGACTTTTTTCCCTTTCATTCAGAGGGAACTGTAGAAAGTCTCTTACTTGGCATGAAGCTACTGTTCAGAAGGATTCGCTTTTGTTTTATGTAACAAGGAGATAGATAACTTTATTTTTGAATAAATGGTATGGCACTTTGATGATGAAACATTCTCTTCCATATCTCTCCTCTCCCTGCCCCCTCTACCCCACATGCCATTACACTAAGTCAGTTCCCCAATGGACTCTGGCCTTCTGATGCCCTGTTCTGCCTTTTTCAGGCTCTTGTGAGAGTTTGGTGTCTACCTCTGGCCTCTAGGTTAATGTAGCTATGGAGAATAGGGAGAGTCCAAAAGAGAACAGCAAAAATGCTTGAAGAATTAAAAAATGAATTCATGAGTCAATAAAAGTAACTTTAATACTTACTGTGTATCTAATGATGTACAAGGTAGTAGAAAAGCAAATTAAAGAAGTTTGACTTTTTAAATCATGGATAATAGGAGATGGGGGAGGGGGTGGCTTAATGATAATATTATTCAAGAAGATGGTGATGAATATCTTGATTGATGAAAAATCTTGACTGAGGAAAATCATGATGACTCAAGCTTAGTATTAGGAGGTGGGATGCACATTCATACTAAAGAAGAATCTTCTAACAGTTGGGGCTGATTAATACAGAAAGGGTCTCCATGATTACAATAATCTGACAATTGGTTATGTTACCTTTGGGAGATTGAACTATCTAATAAAATTCCCTGAGAATGCTTTTGCTTCTTGAGTAATCCAAGGTGTCTGTCAATTTGATTGTCATACAGAGCCAGAGCAGGGCTCATGCTCTTCAATTTGTAGATAAAAGTTTTGTTAATTTCCCCAAACATGCAAATTAAATGAGTATTTACTTACGCAACAGAATACTTTTGCTGCCATATTCTGATCAAATTGGCCAAGAATTATCCGAACATCATTACTCTGTGGACAAAAGGACACATATGTGAAAGGGGTTGGGGACTGTTATCATAAACATAAAGACCAAATCTTTATAGTGAACATGCACATAACCAGGGACCATGCAAACAGCCTTCCCAAGTGTAAAAGGTCAGGGGACCAGAGAACGTCTGTGCTGGCTCAGCCCAGATTCTCTTGGCACTTTTCTTAGCTGACTGGTTTGAATGCTACACCCTGTTTCATGATAATAGTTGTTCTGTCTCCTTTTCCTAGGTGACATAGTTTTTTTTTTTTTTTGGACATCTTTTTTCATAGGCATCATTTTTGCTAGGCATCTTTCCTGCCTCCACTTTGAAGATATCCTTCCATTCTTTCCCTCTTCTCTCTTACTCTCTTTATTTTAAAGATGAATGTATAAATATTATCATCATCAACCTTTGCATTTAATCAGTGGCATGTGGTAAATAGCAAACTCAGGCTTATGTTTTCCCTTTCTCCCTTTCCTATATCTTCCTTCCTTTCTTCTCTCTTTTCTACTCCTGTTCCTGGATTTATCACTTTTCATTTACGTTCTCTTTCTCCCTGTTATATTTCTTTCTATTTTTATCAGCTTCTGTTTCTGACCCCTTCCAACTTTTTCTCTTGGATCATCTTCCCAACTGAGGCAGAGTCAGGGCAAAGTGAGTGTTCTTTAAGCGCTTCCTCTTCCTATTTCTTCCTTTATCCTTGTTGGATTGGATGTGTTACTTTACCAGTCTCTCTCTCTTTTTCTCTCTCTCTGTATTTGTGTGTGCTCTACTCTCCTTTTACCAGTTTGGGGCCCTTTAGTCAATTCCTAATTCCTTAATAATAACTTGCATTTATATGGTACTTTATTTTAAATTATTTTCATGTACATTTTCATTGTTTAAAATTTTATTTGCTTTTATTCTGAATTTCACAAACCCTAAATAAAATGGGCATTTCTATGTTCATAATTGGAACAGAAAAAGAGGACTGTACATCTTCATGTATACTACCATATTTTATCCTCACAATAATTCTATGGAATAGTCAGGGCAGACAGTCAATATCCCCATTTTATAGCTACAGAAACTGAGAATCAGAGAATTAAAGTATCTTGCCTAAGGACATACAGCTAGTTAGTGTCTGAGGCCTTCTAACTCCCAATCCAATATTCTGTCTACTATACCAGCCTCCCAGGCCAGCACTGGAATCCATTATTCCAAAAAGTCTCTTGTTGGAACTTCTGAATAGGAATGAAAGTTACTTCATGCATTAGGAAGGGGTTAGTTTAAGCTGAAACCCTCTTACAAAAGTCATATTTTAGATTTTTTCATTGCTGGAAAGTGCTAAGTGGGAAGTCATTTTACAAGTTCAAATAATTTAATAATATAAAAAGGGAATAAATTTCCAAAATCATCTTTGGGTAGTGCAAACTGGAGAGAAAATGACTCTAAAACGATTTTTAAAAATCTTAATGGAGAACCCAGAGAGGCGTTTCTTTGTTATCTCCATGACTGTAATGCTATAAAATATTTCAAGCCATTTCCATTTTTCATTACCATATATCATATCTTATACAGCACTGCATCATTGTGATTTCAGTAATGCCCCATTAAGTTTTTTGCTCCTTTTAGATCTTCTTTGCTGTCAATAGCAGTTCTTACTGAACTATTGTAAATAGCCCTATTAGCTTAGAAAACTTATAGTACAGCAATTCCCAAACTGGTTTGGCCATGCAATCTTTTGGGGCTCAGGCTCTCTTGACAGAATTCTTTAATTCTAGTCCTGGGGACCAAGGAATTGCTCTGAGATAAAAGAGGGGCACCAACATTTTGTAGCAAAATAGAAGAAACTTCAGCTCATTTTCATGCCCCTTCCCAATGTGACATTTCATAAATACTTTTTGACATATACACTGAGCAGAGCTGGCAATTTTTATACCCACAGCAAGTGGTAGGAAATGTGTTTGGGAGGGGAAGTCCATGGATCTCCACATGGTTGCTTCTGAGATGGGAGGGGGATAGCATGAGGCTAGGCCAGGGAGAAATTAACCTGGGGTGCAGCCAGGAAAGGCTACTTCCTATTTGAACTAGTTATTCTTGTTGTTTATTAGGTGCTAAGCTTAATTATTTCTATCTGCTGAAAGGTTGCAAATGCTCTAAATTTCAGGGCAAAGATCTGGTTGTCCAGTCCAAGTTATGACACTTCATATCTAATTTTACCCTCCTCAAAAGCATTGCTCTGATGCCTTATGGAAGTGACATTGGGTTCTGACAGGCTATTTTAATGTAGTCAGAAGTCTTATAGCTCCTACAGAGCTGGAAAGGCTTTGAGTATGGGCTGGTGACAGGCTTTCTCATCAGAATCTTATAGAGACTGTCTACTAAGGTATGGAGAGGCTGTGATCCACATTAGTAGGAGGGGTATCTATAGTGACGGGGGGAAATCCTTAATTATTTAAGTACATAATTTAATCTGAATATTTTAGAAGGAAAAATATTGGTAGTGCTAAGATATTCTCACAAGATATTATGTAGAACACCGAGGGTCTACAGAACACATTTTGAGAAATGCTGTTATAACATACTATTTATGGATTGGCTGATAACTAAAAACATTGAATTGAGTCAGTGAATAAGAGTGGACATTTTTGTTTTGGTCATTACTTCAGTTATCCTGACAGCCAAGTTATATGGAACATTTGGTTTCATTTGGCATTTAGATGGAGCTGTGGATGGAGTGCTAGATGTGGGGATAGGAAAACCTCAGACACTTAGTAGCTGTGTGACCCCAGGCAGGTCACTTGATCTCTCTGGGTCTCAGTTTCCTCATCTATAAAATGGGAGATGGCCTCTAAGGTCTTTTTCAGCTTTAAATCTATGATCATCTGATTATTAGTGATTCACTTTTTTTTGTGGTTGGGAAATTTAGATTAATTAAAGAAACTATCTATGATACTCAGAAAGATGTTAGGCAGCTGGAAAAGACAAAAAAATGAAGCAAGACTTTGACCTTAAGTAGTTCATAATGGAGTAAACCTTTCTCTTGGGGCAGCTAGATCACAAAGTGGATAGAGTGCCATACCTAGAGTCAGGAAAACTCATCTTCCTCAGTTCAAATCTGGCCTCAGACACTTACTAGCTGTGTGACCCTGGGCAAGTCACTTAATCTTGCTTTCTTCAGTTTCCTCATTTGTAAAATGAGCTGGAGAAGGAAATGGCAAACCACTCCAGTATCTTTGCCAAGAAAACCCTAAATGGGGTTCTGAAGAGTTGGACAGGACTGAACAACAACAACAGCAATAACAGCAACAAACATCTTCCCCTACTCCAGGCGTTAGTACTCTGTCTTCTGAAAATCACCTTGCATTTTCTTGCCTGTGTAGATGTTTCGTGTCACCAGTAGAATGTAAGCTTCCTGAGGGCAGGTACTATTTTGTTTTTGTTCCTATATTCCTACCACATATCTTTATACATTGTAGTCACCTAATATTTGTTGGGCAGATAGGTAACACAGTGGGATAGAGCACTGGCCCTGGTGTCAGGAGGACGTGAGTTCAAATCAACATTTGTTGAATTGAGTAAGACATCTTCACAAACAACCATAATATTGACTAAACCATAATAGTATGTGCTTTTGCACAGGTTGTCCCTCCCATGCTTGACATGCTCTTCCTTTTGCCCCTTGGAAGACTTAGCCAGGCACTGTGCCAAGTGCTTTATAAATATTATCTCATTTGATCCTCACAACAACCCTGGGAGGTAGGTGCTGTTATTATCTCTATTTCACAGTTGAGGACATTGAGAAGTTGAGAGAGGTTAAATGGTTTGCCATTTCATTCTCTAGCTCATTTTACAGATGAGGACACTGAGGCAAACAGGGTTAAGTGACTTGCCCAGGGTCACACAGAGGCCAGATCTGAACTCAGGTCTTTTTGACTCCAAGCTTAGTGCTCCATCCACTGAGGCACCTTGGCTGCCTCTAACAAACATATTTGTATACATGTGTACATATATAAATTTCATCTACAGATGTACACACAATATGTACATACAATACGTATCCACAATACATAATTGCACATCAACTGATGCATCTGCAAATTGAAATCCCAAAATAGTAAAAATAAAAGACTGGTTAAAGACTCTAAATTGCTTCAGTTTTGACTTTCTTGGTGAGCTGTCATCCAAAGCATGTGTTTCTTCTTCCATGTGACTCTTGGGAAAGTTAAGTTAAAAAAAACCCAATGAGGATTAAGGAAGAATGGATTCAGTAAATCATGGGTAACCTCATAGCCTGGCAAGGGATTCAAGTTCTATTTACATTTCCAAAGAACAAGTACACAGGCCAGATGTGACATTCAGCATGTGCAGGTGAGAGTTCAGAATAAAGGCCACATGGCTAGAGAGCCAAAGCGGGGGATCTTGCAAATTCTGAAGGCAAAGGACTTCAATGCAAAATGCCATACAATGGCACCCAAAATGCCTACTATGACTAAAATAAGAACACAATCGTTGGAAAGCAGCATGACATAGTGGAGCAAAGACTGCATTTAGGAATCAGTTTCCAGCTTTACCCCTTCATCTGGCTGCCAAAAGATTTCCAAAGCAGAGTCCGCCAGGCAGGCAGCCTGGGAGTCAGTCAGATAGTCAGTCAGTTTGTCAGTCAGATAGTCAGTCAGGCAGGCAGGCAGGCAGGTAGTTAGTTGGTCAGTTACATAGTCAATCAGTCAGTCAGTCAGCCAATCAGATAGTCAGTCAGTCAGTCAGTCAGTCAGTCAGGCAGGCAGGCAGGCAGACAGCCAGCCAGCCAGCCAGCCAGTTAATCAGACAGTCAGTCAGGCAGACAGTCAGTCAGTCAGACAGTCAGACAGTTAATCAGACAGTCAGTCAGACAGTCAGCCAGTTAATCAGACAGTCAGTCAGGCAGACAGTCAGTCAGTTAATCAGACAGCCAGTTAGTTAATCAGACAGTCAGTCAGGCAAGTAGTCAGTCACATAGACAGTTAGTCAGGTAGT